GTACCTGAAACAGGCAGGAATTTAATTGTTAACACAGCAGGGATAAGCGAGGCTTTGAGAACAGATAAGCACTCCTACAACAAATCTCCCCCTTGCTACCAAATATAGTAACAAATATGAAATTGTTTTTGCTATGACTGAACTGGCAACACTGATCTTTGCAGCCTTACACAAGAGGAGAGACTGATATGCTCTCAAAGCTGACAAATCAGCACTGATAGCAGCAGCAGAAGCCAAAACCCAGACATTCCTCTATATTGAAACATTACATGCGCAAATGTTTCTCAAATACATGGAGGCCTTGTGCCTCAGTGAGATTGGGGCAGCATGTTGCCAGCCAACCAAACTGACCTCCAAAACCCGTAAAATGTTGTAAATCTGTTTTAATTGAAACACTGAAGCCTGTTTGGGTTGAGCCACATGAACTTGTGTAAGCACTTGACTGTATAAGCCAGTGGCAGAAATGACAGGATCGATAGCACATTCTAAAAGACTGAAAGCCCCAAGACTTGATGGTTGGGATGATTTTACACAGAACTGCTTTTCACAGTTAAGTGAAGAGCATGGTACAGGGGGATTTTGCCTCTCAAGCAGAGAGAGTCCCAGTAAAGCTGGGACAGTTTTAAAAGGACCTGTAAGAACTGGCCAACCAAGCTCCACTGAACAGTAAATCCCTTTCAACATGAGGGCGGACTCTACCAGTTACATTTGTTTATCAAGGGCATATTAAAGCTAGATGACAAAGCAGATTGTCTTCTTTTCCTGGCTTACTTGTCCTCAAAAAAGGCCTGGGGAAACACAGCTATAAGCTAGAAGGGGTTAAAGGCTTAGTTACCAGTTTTGTTAGTACAAGCAGAGCTGCAAGTGGTTTAACTGGAGATCTACTGTTCCTACATGGTGGTGGTGGGGCAGTCACCTGGCCACTCCACAAAGGACAGACAAAGCCAATGCCTTGAAAAAGATAGTTATATCAGTTCTCAACAGGAAAGCATGAATGATTTATTGTTTAGGAGAACTGCAGTCCCAGGGGACATGCTTCCAATTAAGGAGCTGTGGTCTCTGCTACACAGAGCAGGGTATCCAGAAGAAGCTTGAGAGCTCCTGACACCACGTTGGATCCTGAGAAATTAGCAGCTCCCTCCCCATTTTGGCTTTTTTGGGGGGGCTTCCTGCAATTATTCCCTTTACGGCTTTACAAAGTAGATATCTATTGGGATAGTGCAGTCAATGTAAACAAGGCTGCACAAGAGGAAATACAGATGGTTCTGCTCAAGTCTCATACAGCTCCCTGCAGAGGGTTTTAAACAGCAACTATTATGCCAGATGGAAGAGACACTGCTAGCATACGAAAAAGTGTCTAGCTTCACCCCAGTCATTTACTTTACAACCAGTTCAGGTCAGTAGCCATACCCCAGACTGTGCCTGACTGGCTTTTTGTTGTCTTTCACAGAAGTCATTTGCAGATGGGTTTTGCTAGCAGCTTTAGTTAAGGACAGGTGTCAAATACAACCTGTAAAAAGAATTTGCAGTTCTTTTAGAAGAGACTCAGACATCAACATTGTTGCATGGTTTCTAATCTTAGGTTAAGCACATGCATTAGAAAGTTCTGGTGATTCTGCTTCCATACAGCACTTTTCAAATCAAAGATTATTCCAGGTAAAACCCAAAGTCTTACCCCATTGGGGTAACAGGAAAGTCATTTCTCCAGCTGCAACAGCCAAGTTATACAGCTGTGACTGATTACTGCTACCACCTTGCTAATAAAAAAAAAAAAATCAAGGTTCTCTGCAAGCACCAATCTTTTCCTCATGCCTATCTACAGTTCAGTTTCCAGCTATAAGTTAGTGTCATCCAGTGGAATAGATGCAGCAGCTGCAGCAGCACATACCACAGGATGTTGCTAGAGAGGAAATGATAAGAGTCTTCAAAGCCTCACCACTACTGTTAGAGTTTAAATGAAGACAAATGGCTTCAAGTGTACTGCTTACCAAGACTGTACTACTTACCACAGTCTGCCTCCTCAGGTTGCAGCTGGTTTCTTTGGGAAAAAAACCACCCCAAAACCTGCCTTTGAATAACCCGACTGAAAATTACCTGAGGTACTGATCTTCAGTAAGTCAAGCCTTTACACCACTTTCGCATAGGCAAACAGCACATGCAGTTTCATTAAGATGTTCATCATTAAAGGAAATACCAAAATCAAGGCAGGAATCCTTGTGACTCCATCCATAATGATGGACAAATGCTACCTATGGGTTCCACATTTCCACCTGAAGGCTAAAACTGTGTGAAGTCCTGCAGACAAGGGTGCGTTCACTGCTTGCTCCCTTCAGAGCACACAAGCTAGTGTTTCTGAGCACCCTATGGATCAAACAAGTACAGTGTTCAGCTTATCTTTTACGTTAACTCCAGTCAGTTGTTTAAGCATCACACTGCCTGCAGCAAAGATGTACTAGTATTAGTCACTCCGCATGTAACTACACTCTTCTAGATAAATATTCAAAGGTCAAGTTCCAGCATGAGTAATGTGTATAGGACAGTACTCTGCTGCAGAGATTTGTTACTCCCACTTAGTCATACTTAAGCATGTTAAGTATTTTTCTGCCATTTGCACTTAAAAATAAAGCAGTTAAAGCTCTGAAATACTTGCAAGTATTAGAGCAGCAGCTTGTTGTCTCACTTTTTTACTACTGCCCATCAGCCTTTAAGCAATAGGCTTATGGTGAGATAGATATCCTAAAATCCCTTAAGTATCCAGGCTCCAGGAGACTGAACATCCCAAGACTTCAACACGGAGAGGGAAAGAAGTTGCCCAGATTGCTTAGATCTTGCATAATCAGTGAAAAACTAAGACAGGTTAAAACTCACCTTACCAGACTGATGCAAAAGCAGGCAGCTATTACAAACATTAGACTTTAATTTACCAAGACAAGTTGCCAATCTAACCTACTACAAAGCCCTATAAATACTTGACAGTAACAAAGTGATGACTCTGTATCACTGCATTCTGGTAAAAGCTGTCCTCAGCTGATGGACAAGTTTGACTTTGCAAAGCATCCTTATAACCTATAGCAGAGTCAGGCATATGATCTGTCTATCAGTCTACTTCTGTTGACCCACCATTTTGGCAGTAGACAAATCTATTTTCAAAGGTCTTCCTATGAGTGACTTCTATCTACATTTTTGAGGCAAAGTCTACAAGAACTTCCAAGACCAAGTACTGAGCATAATAGTGCAAGACTGTACAGGATTGAAGGACAAGACATCATTTTATCCAGGGTTTGTGTGGACTTTCAACTTGCTTTTACTAAAACCATACAAAGAGAAGGGCATAGAAAGAACTCTTCAATCATGAAGGTGCATGATACCACACTGGTGAGGCAAAAAAACTAGCCAGGAATTACGCAAGAGTCTTCACCCTCTGAAAGTGCAGGTAAGATAATATGGCTTAAATAAAATTTAGCTTATGTGAAAAACAATTCCAGTGACATTTTCATACTCAATCCAGCTGAAAAACCTAACTCTCCAGTGCTGATAGCAATAGCTAGCACAGATTGTTTTGCAATGAAGCCAACATTCCTCATGGCAAACAGCTGTAAAGAGATGCTCCTCTGAAACAACCATCCTGTAGGCAGAACAACTCAGGCTATTTTTCTTATGGCTCACCTTAACAAAACAAACTCAGCAGGGTGTGACACATGGAAACATGAGCTAGATATTATGCAGACTGAACAACTAAGTAGTATCCACAGTTTAAGAATCATTCAAGCATTGCCCTTTAGATTTTGTGCTAAAGCTATCACTACTGCTAAATTTAACCATGTCTTCCAAACAAGGGCCACTCACTCATAAAAGCAGGTGGCTTCCCTCCAGCACTGATATTAAGAAACAGGGAAAGTGTTCAAGGACACAACAGACTTCAACTTCTCTATAATGCCTGCTATAAACCAAAGTGGTTTTCAAAAGCAGTGTATTGTGGAGATTATCCCAGTACAGCAAGTTTCATTGTATGGAGATGATTCACTATGAATTCCTCAGTGTGCCCTGTTCCAGCAAAGCTGCTCATAAATGCACAAGTGCCCAGGCACAGACACCATGTCTATAAGCACCATTTCCAACGTTCTGCAATAGTGGTTTAGAGACGACAGGAGCAGAGCAGCCAGCTGGATGGTGAACAGCAGTCAGGAAGACCTCTTGCCAAAAAGGTATATGCATGCCTACAAGGACGAGGATGATATACCACAATAGCACAGACAAGCAAGTACTGATAACATAGGAGATCCAAAGGCAAAGTTGTGTTGTAGTGGAAACAAAAAAGTTTCAGTTTCTGTGAAACAAAAATGGCTTCCCGGTTTGCTCCAGACCTAGAGGCTTTCAGCTGATTCACTTCTCTGTTTTGATTTGGTCAGCTGCAATGGATATCAGGCACTCTGAGTAAAAACAAATATTTGAGGCAGTTAGTTATGGCTTCCAGTAACAGGATTCTGCAACAGAAGGCAGACAGAACAGGTCTGGGGATGCCAGTTACTTATTATGGAAGCTGACTTCTATGGCACAACAAGTACAAAGTTCAGCCTTAACTGGCTAAGTGAATTCACAGCCAGTTGCATAAACCTGCTCACAAATACTGATGTTTTAGCTCCAAATGCTGTGGTTCAGCTGTGCAGCACAGCCCCACATCTTGATAGGTGGCTGCCCACAACAGTGCCCAAGAGCAAGAGAATCTGTGTTTCAAACATCCTCCTAGCATTTTAATATTAAAAACAATTCCAACATGTGATTGTAGATTAAGTTTTAGTGGCTCTCAGGAAGCAGATTATGATTTTAGAGCACATAACATCGCCCAGTATGCAGGAATTTAGGAAAGCAGCAGCTGTATAAGCAGCTCACACAAAGCACAAAAACTGTGCTATTTTTATTAGCAAGCATCAGCCTTCATGTCCTCAAAGATCTGGAGTGGAAGTTCAGCAACAGGCTTATTTCTGGAGCATTACTTCATTTCATCTGAGGAGATTAACACTTTAAACATTAACTCTCACATCAGCTTTGATGTGCTGTAGTACATTGGATACTGACAGCAAGAAAGCAGACCCTACAATCTGTCTATGTCAGGAGACACCCTGAGAACTGCCACCTGCATTATAACAGGCAACAGGTTATTTTTGTCCCCTTTACAGAGCAGTTTGGGGGCATTTAAAGGATGCTTTAACAAATCAAACCTTGTTTGAACCTTGCCTCTTATTTGATGCTAAGGAATGCAATTTGAATTCCAATCAAGAAAGCTCATCTAAAAGTCCACAGGGCTCAACCCCATCCCCTCCCAATATGTAGAAAGCAGCTTTTTCTGCATCAGATCAGATACACTGTTCAACGTGATGAAGACACAGCAAATATGTAACAGCAAAATTTTAAAGCAGCTTACAGAGCTTCCATGTCCCCTGAGCCTCTGAAAAAGAAACTAACGTAAGTGGAGAAGAAGTGTTTGCTGCCCATAGAAACTGTATGAAGTCAGAACTATTTACAAGTACAGACTGGCCTCCTCAGTTAAACCATTTCCTTTCCAGTTTAGGCAGCTTTTATTTAGTAAAGTGCCCATCACACCCCTCCTCAATTTTCAGTGATTGCAAGAAGTATTCTATCCAAAACAGGGCACAAATATTACAGCATGTCTCCCTTGCTGATGAGAGCTGGAGAATGCAAGGCTGCTGCCAATGCCACAGCAGAGCACCTAGCAAGGACTCAGACCCCGCCGAGGCTGCTTCTCTCCCTAAGGTCAATGCTTCAACTTACCAATAGGGAGCTGCCATTCTTCTCTGCCTCTCAACATGTTCACTTGCCAAAGCTTCAGGAATAACACTGTTGTTCTAGTTTATTATTCTCCTGGAAGTGTTCCTCCCAGGGTGACACACTAAGGAGTTGACAGGAATCAAGCACTGCTATTAGATGGAGGAAAAGAACATTGCAAAGCTTGAAGCCAGCTTTTCTGACTACTTGTCTCCTTGCATCTAGGAGAAAAGCAACAATAGCGCAAAAGAGTCTTCTGGTACCAGGCAGCCTGCTTATCCAGTACAGGTTACTGTGCAAGCAAAGCATAAGAAGGATCTAGGCTGGATCTTTGACAGTGTTTACAAACACGCTTTTGCCTCAATCTTTGAGGAGCTTGCCTTTATTAATGATAAAAATGTGCAGACAGCAAGGATAATTATTTTTGATAAGGATGACACTTGTGCCATGCCTCTACAGGAATAAAGGTACACACACGCACTTGATGGTAGAAAAAATTGGGAACAGCCAAAAAAATCTCTAGCCCAGTACAGCAAGCACTGGCCAAATTTGTCCTTATGAATCAAAGAGCCAATGCTGCATTTCTAGAGGAATAAGAGAGCAGATGGCAGACTTTCTGTACCAATTTGAAAGATGGGAAAAGGAGACAGCTGCAGCCAGGGGTTAGGCCCAAGTGCTTGAGGGCAGCAATAGTTTTGCTGATTTGCCAGAGCTTCCATGCAAGAAGCAGTTCTCTGAACGAAAAAGGATCTGATTATGCTACTCCGCTTAGTAAGCCAAACTACAGAGCTGGACAGGGGTAGAGGGAGAGAAATAAAGGAGGGAAGAAAACATGAGCTCTAGGAAGACAGAGTCTATCGCTTACTGGTGTTGATCGATATGTAGAAAGCTTCTAGCAGTTTAGAGAATTGTAAAAAGCAATACTAACATCTGCAAGTACAAGGTACCTGGCATGCAGCCATCCCAGGCAGTTTTACTATCCAAAGCTCTTAAATTATTCATCTACCACCACTTGGCTTACTGAATGACACTACAGTTATAATGTATTGAGTAAGTCCATAGGTGAGGATGGTGCCATTAAGCAGAAATAAAATCCAGAAGTGTTTTTTCCAAGCATTTTTGGATAGCCGCACAGATAGAATAACTTTGCTTATTTCTGCTTTCTCCCTGCCACCCTGTGTTTTCCAGCAATACCCCCAGCAAGACCCCTTCCTCCCTTAAGGATAAGGGAGCTGAACAAACCAGGTCTGAAAGCCAGTTCACAGCTATAGAGAAGAACTGGTCTTAGAACAGATCTTACAACAAACCCAGTACTGATATAACAGAGATTGCTGGGCTACTTATTCTGCTTTCATGGTAGAATTTGAAAAGAGCTGCTTAATCAGCTTTCCTAACACTCTGAATAATTAGCAAGTAATCAAAGCCTTACAAGATTTTTCAGGGGAGTATGGCACAAGCTGCTTTCACATAGTTTGTAGGACTAATTAGCAAAAAGCTATTTCATGCATAATTGCAGGAATTTAAATATATTTGTTGCCCTTTAGGCTCCAGGTGACTTTCATGCCTGAAGATAGGATTTCTTTGGTTTTTTTTTTTAATTTCTGTATTAAGAGCTGTGATAACATCACTAGAACAGCAAAGAATCACATCACATCATCTTACAGAGTTGTCTTTCCTGTAAGCCCTTTCAATCCCCAACAGCAATTATATTCCTGTCTCCCCTAACACAGGTATACAAGTAACAAGACTGAACAACTACCTATTGACACATTTCATTCTAGTTTGTTTCAGATGAGTTTGTTTCCTGGGGTCATGCAAGCCTTTGAGGCAATGTTCTGCCCAAGAACCAATCAGTGCTACAGTTTTCAGAGAAGTTGGCAAGCCTGAGCTCTGAGCTGATCCAGAGAACGCAAACAACTCAAGATTGCACACATAACGCAAGACTAGGGTTCTGCAAGAAGCTCTTCACTCCTGCAATTAATGCACAACATGTGTACTGCAATTTTTAGACATGTTCCGCATTTTTCACTCCTTTGGGAGTACTTTGTTCTCCAACTGAGTGGAAGTCCAAAACATGCCTCTAAATAGTAGTGCTAGGAGCTTGTGCCATAAGAGCAGAGCTGAAATAGAAGTAAAATGGACTCTGAATTAGTTTACAATGTTTCCAAAGATTAGCCTAGTACTAATATGCTTTCAAGACCGGTAACCAGCACTGCTTCATGCTTGCTTTCTCAGTGACTAGGGACATGTAAATCTGGAGTGCCAACACTGAGATGACAAGTGTCTAAGATACACGAAGGAGGTTCTAGTTACCTGGTATTTTTTAGGGAAGCAACTGCTTTGCAGTTAAGGCACTAGGCATAATCAAGAATCCAATTTCAATGCTCAGCTTCACCACACATTTAAGTTACTACCAAACTCAGAGCACATCAGGGAACCCTCTTTATGCTCTAATTTAAAACAGATAATGCTTTGCTTCCTCTATGAGTTTACAGATCCTATGGCCTGAGATCTTATACCTTATGTAACCATCATGGTGCAACCCCAGTCAGCAACTAAGCATCACACAGCTGCTTGCTCACCCTCCCCTCTGCCAGTGGGATGGGGGAGAGAAACAGAAAAAAAAAAGTAAAACCCATGGGCTGAGATAAAGGCAGTTTAATAGGACAGCAGAGGAATATAAAGTAATAATAATATTAATGATAAAAGAATATACAAGTGTTGCACAATGCAATTGCTCACCACCCACTGACCTATGCCCAGCCAATCCCCAAGCAGCCATCACTGCCCCCCCGGTCAACTCCCCCCAGTTTCTATACTGAGCATGATGCCATATGGTATGGAATAGCCCTTTGGCCAGTTTGGGTCAGCTGTCCTGGCTGTGCCCCCTCCCAGCTTCCTGTGCACCTGGCAGAGCATGGGAAGCTGAAAAGTCCTTGATTAGTATAAACACTACTTAGCAACAACTCAAACATCAGTGTGTTATCAACATTGTTCTCATACTAAATCCAAAACACAGCACTATGCCTGCTACTAGGAAGAAAATTAACTCTATCCCAGCTGAAACCAGAACAGTAATCAAGAAATCTAACACAGCACTGCTAAAAGCCTCTCATTTCCCCTAAGAATGACTATCATTAAGTCAGCTTGACTTTTGAGATCCAAAAGGAAGGTTCATGCAGCTGCACTCAGTGCTTACTAGATAATTGATGTATTTAGGGCTTCTAAATAGGACTTGCAAGTTTTCAAAGTGATTGCAGAAGAGAAATACTGTAATCAAAGTCCTTGTACCTCCAAACCCTCATGAAATTGCAGTAAATGCTTCATATTATTGGTGAAGGTAAGGGCAGCTGCATTGATTCTGCAGGTCCTAGAATGGAAGGTCAAGGATCAGCCTGCTCAAATACACAGTTGACATAAGGTCAATTTGAAAGTGGATTCAATAGGCTTAGAGCTGACCAGTGTGTCATTACTTTATTAAACTAGTTATGATGATGTGCTCTACCCAGTAACAAATTTCATTAGTCTTCAATCAACTTAAGGCACTTCAAATAAGAGTAGGCACTTTAAAACTAATAGCCACCCCTGTATTCATTTTAAGTGCGTGGACACACCATGAAAACATTTCCTTCCTGTGAGCCCTGACAGATTTCTTCCCTAATATAAAGGGGAGTACATGAACAGGAACAAGTGCTGATTGCATCCATCCCTCCCCACTTCCACAGACAGTGGGCTATATAGTGCTGGTATAGTAAAATATCAGCATACAGCTACTATACAGAGAGGCAGGGATGACTTTTTCCATACATCTGTGGAGAGCCCTGCACAATAAGGCTTGGTCCTAAACCCACATACCTGGGACACTAGCAATAATGAAATGCTTGACTTGGAACAGGTTTATTTTATCAACAGAATACCCTGACATTCATTTGCACCCAGGTTTAAGAAACACACTAAGCAGAAGAACAGTTAAGTGGAGCTCTTCTCCCTATAACACATGCCAACATGAAAAATATACTTACTCTTTGGTCAAAAGTGGGCAGGATTTGAGTAGAAAGCGGGCCAAAGCAGAGTCCTGGTAAATGAGTTCAGGAGGGGCAGTTGGGCTTTTTAAATTCAAGCAGCGAACAATAACGTACAGAACAGCAGCAACTGCAGCTAGCTTCACCCCATCAAACACTGCCGGCAGCTCACTGGTTTCCAACATTGCACTCATTTTGAGCCTGGAGATAAAAACCAACATTAAAAGCTTTCTGCAGTATACTACTGGACATGAATATCAATTGCCATGTTAAATAGAAGACTCTGCTAACCAACTACATTTGTCAGTTAACACTGCTAAAAAAAAGTCCTACCATATGAACTCACACTAGCAACTTTTAAGATGAAAGGAAGTTTATTTTGTACTGCTCTAAACACCCTGACCACCACAAGAAATAGAAACTGAATGATCAGTTGGGAAGGAAATTTATTCCTAATCAGTGCTGCACTAGAATTGCAACAGTGTCTCGGGTGTCAAACCCTACAGTCTGCAGCCAGTCAATACTTCCAGGATCTTGGCCAAGACTATCCGGCTCAAATAAGAAGCTGAGTGAAAAGCCAGGCTACAAAGGCACATCAGCAGCTTTGGATGTGTGTTTCTTCCCAGATACACAGGCCAGGCTCAAAAAGGAGAACTTGAAGGAACTACTGTGCTAGCTCCTCAGCCTGAATTTTGCAACTCTATGAGAATACTGGTACTAACTCCTGCATGTATTTAAGGTGGTCACTTTATGTACCAGTGAGTTCAGCATTTCTTTTAATTCACTGTAGTTGTGCAGCTGAAGAGGACTAGATTAACAACTAGTCTTTCAAGGGCTTCAGAGTAAAGGAAGCGGGACAGGAGAGAGAATTCAGAAACCCACAACATAACAATATCCTTCGAGTTTGAAATCAAATTCTTAAACTGATCCAGCTTCTTTTGAACATATGGTTCCAATAGCTGGCTGCAGTTATCACAGGGACATTTCATCCATGTTGAAGGGGCAGGTTTTTCCCTGGATCTTTCCTCAGCCACATGGGTAAGCCAAGTAAGATAGCAACTGACAAGTAAGTCTTACCAACGTCACTTGTTCTTCAAACTAGAAATAATTGCCAGTCCTCAGTAGAATTGTCACTGTCTGGATCCACATACTACCTGGGTTACCCTGTGAGGGAAAGAAACATAAATTGATTGTTACTGGTACGGCTGCATCTGTCAGCTGGAAGGGAAGAACACAAATTTATATAGGGGTCCCCATCACAGACATTACAATTGATTTGTGTATTCAGTCATAACCACTTCAATTCTGATCCATCTGCGTCAAACCTCTTGCCTAAGGACAGATTCCAGACTAGATCAGTTGCTGACAGCATATTAATTCATTTGCAGTATGCAGACACACCTTCATGAGCAGAGATAGACAGAAAGCAATAATGAAAACCAGTGCAACTTCAGGAGAAAGCCAAGCTATGAACTTCCGGAAGACCACAGTCACCATCTTCACAAGGCAGTGACATTGTCCGCAGTTACAAAAACTACCCAAATCCCTTCATATTTAAAAGACTAGAAGTAACAGGCTACTGTTCTTCTCAACTTTGTGCAATATCCTACACCGTTAGTGAAGTGTGAAGCCAGTCTGAAAGAAGTTTCCTGCTACTTTTACTGAGGCTAAGCAAGGCAGCTCACTCCTACAGATGGAAGCTGGTAAACAATTTCTGCTTGTTCCTGCACTTGCTTTTTTGAGAAGTTAAAACATATCATGCTTTAACAAGACAGTGAGAGCCACCAGGAGGCTCAGATACAGGCACCTAATTAACACCAGTGCACACACAACAAGGCTTGTTACAAGAACTTGATGATGCCAATAAAAGAGAGAGTGCTTTCAGCCTGTAACCATAAAAATGTAAGTGATATTTACAATTAGAACTGGATTCGCTACAAGCACAAAAAAACCATGGGGAATCGGAGCTTCCAGGAAAAAAATACTCCAGAACCATCTGCTCTCTACCACAGCTGCTGCTTCCAATTCAGAAAATACACCAACAGCACAGGCCATACCAAAGCCTTACTCTTCTTCCTAGCAGGAAGACAAAACCTCAGAAGTACTTTCCGTACTCATACAGCTACACCAAAATCCCTTTGAATAAAACAAGTCTGACATCAGCTATTGATTAACAGCGTGCCAGAAAGCTTCAAGTTTCTGCCACCATAACAGTCTACGTTGCAGGAGAACAGAGGGCAAGGAAAGTGGAGACATTTAATATTGGACAACTCTGAAGCTTTTATTTTCCAATTCTGAGCTTCACAGTAGAAAGGAGAGAGGAGTTGGCTACAAAAAGTAATTTATGTTTCTAATCAGAAGATGACATTGACATCATGTGTCTCAATTAAGAGTTTGAGTACTATGTTCAACTATAGTATGTTACCTCATTTCTGCACTTAGTAGACTTTCACCAACACTACCACCACCTGCATAGGACACAACAGGCAAACTACAGCAATGGCTTCTCCAGGGAAGACACAATCAGCAGAAGAGTGGATTGAGTTCCTGAACAACCACTGACTCAAGGACAACCAGGTGCTTGAGCAAGTCTTCCCCAGATAAAACTCCCAGAAGTTCTGTTGGCATGTTCCCTTCATTATTTTATTTAGAAAATTAATAGAGACACTGATACAAAAGTTACTTAAGACCTTCCTGCCACCTGGATTTTAAGCTGGTTTGCTGTTTACAGCTTTCACAGCATTAGTGAATTTGTTAAAAATAAAACTGGGCACGATTAGTCATTAGCATTTTGTACTAGGGACTCAGTATAACTGATCCAACTAAGCTGTATCTCCCCGAGAATCTTCTCTCCCACATAATCTTCAGATTACAAACATACCGTATCTTTTTGATACTTCTATATCGAGTTTTTGCCTATCACTACCTTAAAAAAGCATACTAGCTTGGAGTTACTGTCAGGAAAATCAACTGTTGGTAGGCAGGATCATGCTTTAATACTTGTGAACTAGTATTTTTCCCTTTTAGACAGTCTAAATACACATTCACTGAATATGCACACCTCAAACATGTGCTAGAGGTTCATGTATTTGCCAGAATCTTTAACCTAAAAGCTCAGATCAGTCTGGGTAGAGCTAACACAAAAGTTGGCACTACTGTCGCAGTTGCACAGCAGTCTGCAGTGGTTAACTAAGCAACAGATCTAGTCCAAAACAATGAGGTTAGTAAGCTCCACGCCCTATGGATCCAGCTGTGGCACTTCAGGTACTTCCCCAAGAGTCTGGTATTTCTGAAGACCTAAACAGACCCGTCTCAGCCAGGGCACATGTGCAGGGGCTGAGCCAGAGTGCTCTGCTCTAAAATTTTAAGGCTTTAGCTTACTGAAATAGATTGGAGAGCTCTGCCTCTAATCACATAGGTCAAATGCCTTGTTATTTACAAGCAGGCATGAGGTCACCTTGCTTCAACCCTTTTTGGATTGCCCCAATAAACTTGTCTGTTTACAGAAAAGGACAGATAACCACAGTGTTGAGCCAGTCAAATTTTAATCTAGAATCTCCTCTAAATAGGTCAGCATTAACATAAACAGACAAACAGTTGGCCTTTTTTGTATACAGAACACTAGATTCACTTTTAGCAGGCTAGACAAAATTAGCAAGAGGCAGTAAGTATATCACTGGAAGCAATCAAGCCCACCTTCTCATCCATCACAGGGTTTGAGATCCACATTAAAGAACACAAAGAAGTTGAAGCTCTTGGGGCCAAGGATGTTATTTTGAAGCACCTTAAGCGTACCATTCCTTTTTTAAAAATCACTTAAAGGCATGACAGTCCCAAAGACTGACAGCCTTTTCAAGCAATATTCTTAAGTCCCATTTGTGACTGAGGACTAACTTTAAAATCAATCACTGGAAACCAAGCACTGGATTTGTGGAGTCTTTTCATCTGCCCTTTCATCACAGAATAAAAAGCTGAAAATCACATTACAGGGAACACTTCAGCACTACTGTTAACAGAGTGCACCCCACCTGTACAAGTATGAGAAAAACCCCATGTCTCCCCTTTCCAGACAGGAACAGAAACAAGTAGTTTGTTTCAACAACAACAACAGCCAGCAGAGCTACAGCAAATTCCTCATGTATCCTTTCAAAGACACTGGGTTGTGGGAAAGTCATTGCCAAGATACTTACTTGTACAGCAAGTGAAGTCATGACTAACAACAAACCTGACACTTGCACACATTTCTGTTCCAGGTTTCCTGGGGAGAGGAGACACTACAAGGGACAGAAGTCACTTCACCCTGTGACTCAACAGGGCACGGCACAGGATTTGGTAGCTACCAAGGATTACAGCTCCTCCACCCATGCCAAAGCTAAGCCTGACTCCGCATACTGGAAAGCCAACATTAAAAAAGCAAGACATTAAAGGAAGCCAATCCCATAGGGTCCTTCCCTCAGGCCTTTTAATGAGCAACTGAAAGCCTGGCAGACTCATTTCACAGAAGCATTAGAAATGCTTTGGGCTAAAGCGAAGATGCAGCTGTATGGAACTGCCCACAGACAAGAGTAAAGGCAGCCTCTTTAAAAGGGGCTCCACTAGCAAGACATTTTATGCTCCATTACATTCACTGAAGAATCTTGAAGGAATTCCATTTCCAGGAATGGCAGTTTCATACAAAAGCCTCCTAAGAGGCCCTCCCACCAGTCAGCATACTGGCTCACTAGTGCTTTCAGAGCTCAGCTGGGCACCAAAACACTGGAGCATACCTGGCCAACACCAAAAGCATTTAAAAATCCCCTTTCCTATCCTTTCACAGCTTCTACCAAGTAGTGTAATATCCTCTCTTCCCTGCTAAGATTCAGAAGAGCCAAAGAGGCTGCTTCTAGACAGATTAAGCAGACAGACTTCGTTAACTAACTTATCAGACATTTCTTGGACCAGTTTCATTTATTTGTAGTGCCTGCTTGCAGAATAAACTCTGAAAGCAAGTCTGTTGGACAACAGGAAAGCAAAACACCTTAATTTGAAGAGTTGTACCTAGGCAGATTCAGATGAGAAGTAAATTTTTTTTCCCCCCCTCTTTGGAGGGGGAAGAAGGAAGGCTGTTTCACTGAAGTTAGTTCTTTAGAGAATGTTTCCAGGAAATTAATCATCTTGGATATCAGCCAAAGCTAGTATCTCTTTCAAAACATACACCACAAAACCAGAAGTTACAGGCCTGTCACTACCAGGTAAGACATTTAGAACCACATTATGGAGAAGGGAACTTTATTAAGGAAAGGGTAGAAAGTCAGAGCACTACAAAGGTTTTTAGACAAAGCCAAGGTTTATATCAGCATACAACTTCTTGAATCTCATTCCAGGAAGTGTACAGAAGTGTCATGCAGCTGAGTTTTCAATGGTTTAAAAGCAGAGGAAGATGTTTAGAGACCATCCAGACGAAAACCTACACAGGGAATGTATAATACATCTGGGAAAGACTGTGAAGCAATGTGTCTTAATGGGAAAGGCTGCCAGCATAAGTTTTTATAAAGCACTGGAGGACAGTCTGAGGTCACACAAGCTATAGGAGTACAGGAATCTGTGCAAGAGTAATGAAAAACCTCAAGCTTTATTGTGCAGTCCCATATCCTGCCTTTTGCCCAGTACTTTTTGTATAAAAGATGCTTTCATTTTTACGGAAAAGCGTTAAGCCTGAACTGCTACTTTAAGGTCTCCAAAGAATTACGTAGATACAAGTATTTTAGGGAAACACCAGTAGTATGCCTCATCGGTTTAGGCACACAAAGCAAGGCATCACACTGCTTATTTTGAGACTGGCATCTACCCAGCCCAAGCTTACCCCATGCAGAACCTCCTATTATCTTCAGCGGTAGCTCAGAAGAGAACATGTCAGAAGCAAACGATGAGATCATCGCGATGTACCACTCGGTACTTCTGGCCATTTAAAACAGCCAACTAAGTCTCAGGTCTCAAAGCATAGAGGGTATAATCAAGAATTAGCTGCGCACTTAAGCTTAGGTTTTCAGGAGATGTGGGCATGAGAGATAAAGTGCAGTGCTCGCCAGAGTCATCAGTAGTTTGGCAAAGCCCACCACAGTTTTATTGTCAAACATCTGACAGATTTTACCATCAAA